CTTCCACTAGACCAGGTTGCTCAAAGCAGTGTTCAGCCCAGCCTTGAACACTTGGCCAAGGGTCAGTGACTGATAACACAGGAATGTTAACGACGAACAGCACAACACCCCACCTCTTTGGTGAGGTCCTTCTACATCTCTGAAAGATGCCATATTGGTTTTCCTTTAAAGCCTGGAAAGCTGGGAGTAGCTAAGTATCAGCACACTTGGCTGATCACCAGAAATTACGACAGAAGTTTCCGCTCCTTCTTTCTCATCATTGTCCACAATGCAACCATAAACCCAGCCTCATTTTTACCTAACCCCTGAGCAATCACTGTAGCCAAACCCAGAGGGAATTAGCCTTCAGTCTGAAGGGACAGCAGCCCTCTTTACACTTTGGTGTTAGGCAATTGCTAAGGCTGCAAGAAACACACCCACTTCATTATATTCTGGGTTTGCTAGGCAGCTTTTCCTCCTGCTGCAGACCCTACACCAAAGCGTTGCACATAGGAGAAGCTGCAGAAGGGCAAGCACCATAGATAGGGCCTTGCTCAATGGCACTTCTTCCATAGGTCACTGGTCCACAGAGATGTGCATTGTCACATTGCTCCTTTTCTATTCTTGGTGTTTCGTGACTTAGGCCTCAGCTTCTGGAGTTGTGTGGTTTTGATGGGTATCCAAGTGACATATTAGAAAGAAGCAAACACTACATATTATGGAGAGGGAAATGACCCACCCACATTGACTCAAAAAAACCCAAACCAACCCCCAAAAAATGGGCTAAAAAAAAGAAAAAAAAAAAGGAAGCAGAATGTTGGGAAAGCTCATTATTTTAGGTAATTTTTGTTACCTTGGCATATCTAATCTCTTTTGAGATGATGGAACTGGTTCACCCTGCAATTCGACTGCCCTTGTCTTCAGGTACATCTTCATCTGTGAGACGTTTCTCAGCCCCGTTGTTTGCCCGTAGCTGGCACGCCCCGTTCTGCCCTGCTGCCCATTGCCCTTGTGGGTGCTGCTATGGCCAGCTCATATGGGTGGGGGACAAACTGACTTACTGTGCAAATAGAGGGAATGAGAGGCTGCCCAGCTGGATGGGTACAGGTCCTCCCTATTGCCCTCACCACTGCCTGGGAACTTGCCCTGCGTGCTCAGCCTGTGAGAGACAGCTCTGCTCAGAATGCCTCAGGGCTGCCCACATCTGACAACTTCCTATGTGGCTCCTATCAGCCACCAAGTAACCCTTGGTCACAGCGCTTGCCCACGCCTGTGCCGTTCACATGTTCTTCACCTGTCAGCAGGAAGGAGGAAGGGAAGGAGGAAGAGAAACGGAGGGAGGGAAAAAAGGAAGGAAGGAAGGAGGTTGCACTCAGCATTTATCTCCAGCAGCTAAAGCCAGAGCAGCTGATAGTCACCGTGGGAGACGCTCACAATGTCCTCACCAGGTTCCACCACCTCTTTGCCCAGCGGCCTGGCCGTCCTGACGACTTTCCCAGATGTGCTCTTCATTCCTGAAATTGTGAGTGCTGGCTTTTCCGTGGGGGAGGGCAGATGCTGCTTGTGGGGCATTCAGCACACTTCATGCTGCAGGTGTCTGAGGGATGAGACTTAGCACAAAGTGTGTGGTTCAGGAGCCACAAGGGTCTGGGTGCAGTAACCTTGGAGAGAACCACAAGCCCTGAACTGGAGCTTTGAAGCTCTCCTTCAGTTTGCAGAGAAACGTTGTGTCTTTGAAACCTTTTGTAATTTCCTGCCTAATGTTTAAGGGGTTACTGGTGGGTTTAAACTAGGTTGCAAATTGAGCCGATTAATTAATTGGAAGATGAGTTTAGCAGCTGATAAAGGCACGAGATAAACTGCTTGCTTAAAGCAGGGGGCTAAAGGCTGCCTGAGGTAATTGTTTTACAGCAGTAAAGAGCCTAGGCTGCTGAAGCTGTACTGCTGCAGTGTTCCCGAGCTGGAGGTGCAGTGTTGGATCTGGGTGTGTGCGCAACAGTGGGTGAGCAAAGGGTGAATAAACACCTTAGAAATTCTTCCCAGGTTGTAATGTTATAGCGCGGGAGATCATAATCTTACTGGAATTGGCACAGGTGATTAAAACCAGTTCCTGTGAGCAGAGATCTAAAGTTTAGCTATAACCTTTAACCTGTGTTCTCTGCCCCCAGCCATGAAATCTGCTCTTCTCACAACAGTTTGAGAGGCTTTTTCTAAAGCCTGAGCACTTTCATCCAGCATTGAGGATTTTGTCTGTGTGTGTAGGATGGCATTCGGATTATTTCATGCTAAAAACTTCAACTTTACCATCTGGGACCAAATCCTTTCCTGTCACCCAACTCAGTCCACACTCCTGGGACTGACAACGTTTACTACATTCCCCTAGTGACAGCAGTCAAGCAAAGAGGAATTAGCTTAAAGCAGGTGGTATTGGTGTGTAGAGAAAGGCTTTACTTCAGCTCCTCCAAATATGCGCTGGGGACTTGGCCTCTGTGCCCAGGCCCTAAGAACAAGCTCAGGTTTTTCTGCAGCTGCATGAAAAAGGGTGAAAAGTCCCTGCTGAGGTTCTGGCTGGACAGAGACTTGCCAGCTACCCCTGCTGCTGTGTTGTGTTAGCCCTGGTGCTCATCATGCTGTTGGCCTCGGGTCCTGGCTGTGCCTTGAACTCTTTGAAATTCCTCTCTCCAAGGGTTTTGGCAAAGCAGCTTGCTTAATGATACAAAAAAAAAAACCAAACACAAAAGTCCCTATCCCTTCGTTTGGGTAAGATCTGGAAATGTGCATCCTGAAGGCTCAGGAACCAACAGGAAAGAGAAATGCTGCATAACCAGATTTCCCCATCTCCAGAGATGTATGACTCTAGGTTGTGCAGCTGTATTATCTCTGCTGTGCGCAAAGGAGGTGGCTGCCTTGAATTGTTCAGAAGGATAAATCATTCAGAAGGATAAAGATTTTCCCAATCTCTAGTGGAATCTGAGGTTGACTGCAGTGGGTTAATATGGTAACTACAGAAAAAAAGATAAAAATTGGGATTTCAAATACTAAGATAGTCTCAAAAATGCCAGAAGGTCCTGCCTGCAGCTCAGGCAATTGCCACATATGGATGTGCTGATTAAGAACTCCCATTTTTATTCTCTGAGCCTGGGTTAATTCTTGTAATCTATTTTCTTTGAAGAACTTTCTGCATATATGGATAGCCAGCCCTATGTGGAAAAGCTGAAACAGGCTGAAAACAGATATGTTTGCTTTGTAAAAGGTGATATAAAAGAAGGCTTTTTCAGACTGCTCCCCAACTTGCTATGGGTTGTTACTGAAAGCCTCTTGACCCTTCCCTCAGTTTTATGAGTCTGCTGAACAGCAGCATCATGAAACCAAAGTCACTAATGAAACCATGTCAAACATACTTGCCTAAGTGAGAAACCACATCCTGCAGAAAGGGAAGATGGTGAGTGGTAAGAAATGAGAAGTGATACTTCTTCCCCCAACCTCACATCTCACCCCAATTGTGTTGGATTTTAATGGAGCAACTGTAAGGTTTTCTCCAGGATCTTTAGCTGCAATGCTTTCATCGGTGCCCCACATGAGTTATTACAGGGACTGCATTACTGTTCAAGTGTCAGTCTTTGGTTGTTACACAAGGCATCAAAACAGCAGCACTTTGGAAGACCTGTTCTCACTCAGCTACCTGCAAGGTCTCAACCACATCTTTGATTTAGTGTATCGATTTGTGTAGTGGAATCAATGAACTTTCCTGCAAATGTGGGGTGCCACAAATGATGTGGCATTTTTTGAGTATCATAAATCTGAAACATTTTTCCCACTTGCAGAATGCCTCCAATGCATTTCTATTGAGTTGTGTGATTTGTATGAGTAGGCACTTGGATGCTGGCAAAAGCTGGCCTGTGGCACACTGGTGATCAGAATGATCTTACAGTCAGTGAGGCTCTCTTACCTCTGGAGGTTTGCCTGCAAATGCAAGTGATGAGAGAGAGGTCCCCTTTCTCCACAGTGTGGGTTCAACTGAGGAGCTCCTCATCACAAAATACTGCATAGACCAAACTCTGCACAGGTTCTAGAAATAACTGGACTGATTTGTAGCAGAGAAAAGCTGCTGAGTGCATTTTGGTGCGAAGACACCACTTGCAGCTCAGACGTTCTTAGCACTGGATATGGTGCCATGAAAGCATCAATAGAAAATCTTAGAGAGTAAAACTGGCCATATTACCTCCTTTCAACCTGTTCTCTGTCCTTTCAGGGTAATGTTTGTATGTGGCCTTCGCTAAGGCCATGTTGTTTATGCAGGTGGGCTGGGTTTGACACCACTCCTTTCAGGGATCTGCCACACTGGGTGTGAACCAAATATGCCCTTCTGAAACAAGCCTCCCTGTTCATCAAAACCAGCCTCCTGTGCGCACTGATGTGGGCAGTGACACCAGGAGGCAGGGTTACAGAGAGGCTTCTTTTGGGTCACCACTGGAGGCAGACGCTCCAAGCTAAATTCCCAGATTCAGCTGAAGGCTGGCAATTTCATAAAGGCATCCCTGGGATATTGCCATGTGCAGTGCTAGTGCCAGAGGTATGCACGGCTTTTGGCTCTGCCCTGGATAAGCTGGTTTATCCCATGCTCACCCTCTATCCCCCTTTCATTTTCAGATCTTTGGGGGCCTTGTCTGGATCCTGGTGGCATCCTCAAAGGTCCCATTCCCCATGCTGCAAGGCTGGGTGATGTTTGTCTCTGTGTTCTGCTTCGTCATGTCCACCATCCTTCTGTGCCTCTACATCTTCAGTGTGCATGGGGGCAGCAGCTACTGGGTCACCTTGGTAAGTGGATGTGGCAAACCTCAGGGCCTCTCTTCTCCCTGTCACTGGTGGACAATTGTGTCCGTTCCTGCTACTGCACAGGCTGGGGCTTGCTTGTATGGCTTCCTTTTTTTCCCCCCCTTCTCAGTGTGAGGCCTCCTTGGAAATAACCGTGGGATCCTTGTTTCTTAGGATGTCATCTGCCAGTCGACAGCAGCTCTGTTCTACCTCAGTGCTGCTGTGTTGGAGGCCTACTCCACCTATCTCCTTGGCTTGTCTTCGTTAGTGATCATCTACCGGGAGAACATTGCTGCGGTGGTGAGTGCCGGGCAAGCAGGGAAAGGAAGGCAAGGAGGTGACTGTGGACCAGCCTCAAGGGCAAATGTTTACTTGCACCAGGGATGGGGGGAGCAGCCTCAAGGGCAAATGTTTACTTGCATTCAGGGATGGGGGGAGAGAAAATGGTCCCAGTCCTACTAGGTATGGACCATACATTGAGAGGGAACTCACATGCCTCCAGACATATGAGACTCAATAGAGATATCATTCATCATGAGGTGTTTGCTTAGAGCAGGAACACATACCATGTAATAAAAAGGTAACTGGCCGATGTGTTTTTCCATTATAGGTATTTGCATTCTTAGCTACCCTGGTGTATGTGATCCATAAGGTGTTCTCTGTCCTGCGATGGAAATCATCCTAATAGCGTCCCCTTGCAAGTGTGTCTTGTGGTCACCCCATGAATACAGAAGTTGTTCAATGACTGCAGTTTCCAGGCTGGGTTTGGGTTTTGGTTTTTAATGTAAATACTATCAACCAAGAATCTTTTAATGTGGGACCATGGCAATGAAGATGAAGAGCCTACCAGAGTAAGCTATATCCTGCACAATCTGTTTCCCTTAATTCTCTTCTGGGTTGGGTACAGTTTGATGCTGGTAATTGGGGTCCAAATAGAAAACATCTAGTTTTAAAAATAATAATACAGTTGGGTTCAAACTGCTAAAATCTCCCTGAACCATATCTTTATGGTTCCAGGGTTGTTATTTCAGGGGAAGCCTGCACAACCAGCACTAAGGAGCATGAGTATGAAGCTGGGTAGTTTTAATTGGCACCTGTCCATGTAAGCCTGCTTCCCTCCCTAAACCCGAGGTGCCAAAAGAACACTTCCATAGAGTTTCTGGAAGTGCCATCTCTGACTTGTGATGAGAAATGGGGGCAATATTTAACCTGCCTCAGGGGCAATATGAGTTACTGCAACCCCTGGAGGAGTATTGCTGAATTATGACGCAGAACCACAACGCCAGGAATTACTGCTGTCTTTAATCCCCCTATGAAATACAGTTTAGAAGGTGCTCAGTAGACTGCAGAATTGTATGCATTATTAGAATAACATGTTGAATAAGTAGAGGCAATCAACTCTTACCTTTGGTGCATTGTTGCTCTCACATGCACCAGCACTATGTTGCTGTAATGAAGATGAGCTTGGCTGAGGTTTTGCAGGTAGGCAAGAGTCTTTTCTGCTATTCTCCCTTTGCTGCACACAGGTACACAGCCCTTTACAGCCTCAGGAGCACTGTACTATAACAAGGCAATGCTGAGGGAGGAGGCACAGACTTCAGCATGAGTGAGAGGCTTCTTCTGGCAACGGGAGCCTATGGGGCCAGGGGCTAAAGCAAGCTCAGGTTAATCTCAGTGATGATGTTCATCTGAATACTTAAATTACTCCAGTGTTAACTTGAGTGAGTGGTGTGGTTTTGGCTGGGATAGAGTTAATTTTCTTCACAGTACCTGGTATGGGGCTGTGTCTTGGATTTGTGCTGGAAACTTGATAACACAAGGATGTTTTTGTTACTGCTGAGCAGTGCTTGCACAGAGTCAAGAGTTGTTCTGCCCGTCATACCGTGCACCAATGAGGAGGCTGGAGGTGCAGAAGAAGCTGGGAGTGGACACAGGCAGGACAGCTGACCCCAACTGACCCAAGAGATATTCCAGACCATATGGGGTCATGCTCAGCACATAAAGCTGGGGGAAGAGGAAAGGGGGGAACTTTTGGAGTGATGGCATTTGTCTTCCCAAGTAACCATTACGTGTGATGGAACCCTGCTGTCCTGGAGATGGGAAGTGGTGAATGAATTCCTTATGTTGCTTTGGTTGTGTGCGTGGCTTTTGCTTTACCTATTAAACTGCCTTTATCTCAATCCATGAGTTTTCTCACTTCTACTCTTCTGATTCTCTCCCCCATTCCACCGGGGGAGGTGAGCAAGCAGCTGTGTGGTGCTTAAGTTGCCAGCTGGGCTTAAACCATGACAGTGAGTTAACTTAAATGGGGTTTAAACCCAAGAAGGGGTATTTTCATGTGTTAGAGATGCCTAATAAAATGTGTTACCAAATTAGCCCCTCCAGTTGGTGGGGCAAAAAATGCTTCTGAGTCTGAAGCTCCTGGATAGTAATGAGGACTGGAGAACAGAAAGGAAATGAAAGTTGACTTGGGGGTATTTCTGTTGCTTTAGATGTGGGGGGACTTTTGAGCTGTGACTGTGGGCTGGGGTTGAAGCTTTTTCATTGCAATGTACGGGAAACATTTAAATTCTTTTTTCCTTGTATTTTTTATTGCTGCAAACCAGCCTGACCTGTTTTGCTTGTGTTAGTGTGACAACAGAAAGTTGATTGCAACAGAGGTAGGAAAAGAAACCCCTTTTCAGAGCAAGGAGGGAACTCACAGCCACTTGGACAATGGCACTTGTTCTGAAGTTCAACATCCTCCTGTTGAAACTGGTTTCAACATCTTGTCATCGCGGGTGAGTGCGGGTGTGTGTGTGCCTGGATTTGCCCTGCTTCTGTTAATGCCCCTGAACTTAGCATTAAAACACAGACACCTTTCTGCTTGGGTCTGTTTACAAAGGCAGCAGTTGCAATCATACCCTGGATCCTGGGGTGCAGTATCTCTGTCCACCTCCTGCACCCAGGTGTGGCCAGCACCTCTGCACCAAGCAGTGCTGTCTGTCCCCTCACATCCATGTCCCTATGCCTTGTCACGTTTGCAGCATATGTGTTGGCAGGGCTCCCATCTCTTCTCCCCAGTTCTTTGTGCCTTGCTCCTCCCTTTGCTTGTCCCTTCCCTGCCACCAGTTTACACCAGACTGCACTAGTTCACCTGCTTGTCCCTTTCCTTCTGGCCCCACCAGGTTTGCTTAGATACCTTCCCACCAGCATTAGCATAACCTTGCTGTAAACCAGCACTGGAGGTGCTGCTGGCATGGGAGTGCTCATCAGCCCAGAGCAGCTGGGAGCTGGCTGAGGCAAGGTTGTGGGAGGGAGGCCTTGAAGCCGCAGTGTGATACGTACCAACTCTTTGCCAGAGGAGGGCTGGGCAGAGAGAAGGGCCACCACAGGGTCAAGAGCATCCAAATGAGCTGATGATACAAAGCAGTGCTGCCACTATGAAACCCTCACAGTGTGGCCCCTATGTCAACCCATGTAGCTGGACAGCTTGATGGTAAGTGTCTCTGTTAGCATAGGGCTGCTGGGCCCCAGCACAGGACAGTGGCACAGTGAGGGGTGGCTTTGTGGCATCAAGCTGCTGGACAGGACCGGTGAGGTGCCAGGTGAGTTGCAGCAGTAGGCACAGTCCCTGCATGGTGGAAAGAGGAGAAAAAGGAAATGGAAAAAGCACTCCGTCACACCCAGCTTTCCTGTCATTTCAACATAGCCATGTTTGGGTGCTGATTGACAGAGCTGAACATGAGCAGCTTGTGCCCAGGCAGCCAAGAAGGCCAACAGCATCCTGGCCCATATCAGCACCAGTGTGGCAGCAGGGCCAGGGCAGTGATCATTGCCCTGCACTGGGCACTGGTGAGGCTGCACCTCGAATCCTGTGTTCAGTTCTGGGCCCCTCACTACAAGAGAGACATTGAGGTGCTGGAGCAGGGCCAGAGAAGGACAATGGAGCTGGTGAAGGGGCTGGAGCACAAGTGTGATGAGGAACCATTGAGGGACCTGGGGGTGTTTAGTCTGGAGAAGAGAAGGCTCAGGTGGGACCTTATCACTCTCTACAACCACCTGAAAGGAGGATGTAAGTGAGGTGGGGGTTGGCCTCTTCTCCCAAGTAACAAATGATAGGACAAATGTAATGGCCTCAAGCTGCACCAGGGGAGGTTTACATTGGATATTAGGAAAAAAAATCTTCATGAACAGGGTGATGAGGCATTGGGAACAGGCTGCCCAAGGCAGTGGCGGAACCACTGTCCCTGGAAGTGTCCAAACACCATGTAGGTGAGGCCCTCAAGTGACATGGTTTAGTGGTGGCCTTGGCAATGCTGGCGTGATGCCTGGAAAATTGCACACCTCATTGCTTCTGAAGGGAAAGATGCTGCCCAGGGCTCAGACAATCTCCCAGGAACTACAAACCACCATCTGTGCCTCAGCTCTCATCCCCACAGAGAGCCCTGGGGACAGCATCAGCCTGAGAATTCGCTGTCACCCCACTAGAAAAGTTTGGCATGAGCACTTGAGGCTTGATCCTTCCCTGGTGGAGATACTTGTCTGGGGTTAAAAACAGTGGGCCTATTGCATCCTCACAACCACCACCAGATCTCAGCTGGTCGTGTTAACTGGAGTTTCCACCTCTGCTCTTCTCCTCTAGCTTCCTCAGCAAAATCAGGTCTGTAGGCATCCACTCTACAGAGCAGGCAATTAGACTTTAGTTAAAACAAACTACCCACTCTAAGGTAAGCAAAACCTCAGCTCCTGTGATAAAAACAAGATTACAGACATATCATTCATTAACTATGCCCAGATTGTAATCTTGGTTACTCTCGCTTAATTAAATAACTTAACCACAATGTTAGCTGTTCCCCAAATATTTGTATACTGGATACCTTGCCTCCAGTGATGCAGTGAGTTAGAAGCACTTCCATCTTCTCCTGAATTGCAGGAGAATATGCTTTGTCTGAAAGCAAAGAAACTTGATAGAAATACATGGCCAGCTCCATAGAAGAAGTAGGAAGAGTTTCTGATGTTTCTATTTTACAGTTAACTTCATCTGCTTGAGAAGTGAACTGTATGCTGGGTAAAGCATCTATACAAGCACCTGTATTAATATGAACAAATCTGTGAAGACAGGAAACCCACAAAAAATGACTTCCATGGAGGAATCAAAGCTCCATGTGGGTTTGTGGCAGAATCTGTTTCACGGCTGGCTCAATCTGCCTCCCCTTTTCCTGACGCAACTACAGTCCATTCCCCATCTCTAATCTTTGCACTGCGACCACGGCCCCCTCCTGCTCCTTGGTCTCCCTTATACTAACAGAATCAAGCATTGAAACCCCACTTGCTTTGAGGGATGGAAATGTCTTATTCCTGGAAGTGCTCAAACATGAGTTACTGTCCTGTGGATCTGACAAGAGCCCTAAACCTCCTTCAGAGAGCAGGGGCAAGGCAGAGTCATCCTGAAGACTCTCATGGGAGCAGATGCAAGCGTAGCTTGTGTACAGACCTTGGGGAAAGAGAGAGACTTGTGGTTACTAACTTACTTTAAGTTCTATAAAACCAAATGACATTTACCCAACCACTTCCTTACCTTGCAGCTCCTCATTTGTACTAGCACACAAGGTGGACCTGCAAGGCTTGTATGGATTCTCTTGGAGGCACCAGCTATAAATCAGTCAGACACTTCCCTGTGCTTTGACTGATCCACAGAGAATAATGCATTGTTTTACCCTGCACTAGCAGTGAGAACAGAAATTGGCAGAAAATGAAGTTAGGTCTTCTCCCACTACATGTGCAGAGGAGAGTATCATAAGCAGCCAGGATTGCAGGTTTTGGAGTGGACTTCCAAAGCCAGTTAAAATACTGCAATATACCACAGGAGACTGGGCGGTGCTGTCCTCAGATATTTGGGCTCTGCTTCACTTGGGGAACTCCCCCACTTGCATGAATAATTTTTGCACAACTCATCTTCTTGCACACCATCACTTTGCTGCCCACCCTTGTCCCTCTTCCTCCCCACCAGAAGACACACAACTTCCACTTTCTGGTCTCACAGTTCCCCTACCATAGTGAGTGAGCCTAGGGAGTGAGATGGAGAGTGCACACATCAACTCCCACTACTGCTACTTCCATCACATCTCCCAGATACTGGCATTTTCCAAAAAAGACACCAACAAACACTGAGCTCATTCTGAGGATTCTTTATTGCTTTCACAAGCTTATCTTTCCAGTAGTTTCCCAAAAGCTTGTGAAAGACACGTGATCTGTTGATTACACATCATCTTCAGGAGTCAAACAAATGCATGCTTGAAGACAAAGTCATGTTCACTGGCTGTTTCCATCTGAATGTCCCTAGTTGAACAGTGGTCAGAAGACTTGTGGGAAAGCAAACAGAATGGTAGCAATGGGAGCAGCAATTTGAATGGTATGATTATGTTGCCCTCCTCTGAAATGTAACCCTAGACAACTTGTCCATCTGGGCTGGGCTTTCCCTGTTGCGTCTCTGAGCAGAAGAGACAGAGGGACAGAAGCTTTTACCATATTGTCCGTCTGACATTCACCCACGGAGATTTCTTCATTCCCTGAGCTGCTTTCACATCACTCCACTCCAGCTTTATGTCTGGAACCTCATCTTCAGGCTCGGGGTCCTCACGGACAGTCCCCTCAGGCAGTGCCACAACAATGGGCAGAGGGCCCTGCTCCTCCCGGAACTCTACTACACAGAGACTCTTCTGGTTCGCTAACTGCTGGTGAGTCTCCTGGGAGCAGGAAAGAGAAAAGATAATCAAAGCAACGATACACAATCGTGGTTTACTTCAGGTCAAAAAAAAGTTAATTTACTAATAAATAGTTTAAAATAAACAGTTTAAACACTGTGTAAATTAAATTACTTGTCAAGCTCATCCCCATGGGTTTCAGATGAGCTAATTTCAGGAATTCAGAGAGCTAGACTGCAGATACACTAGCATGACAAAGCCATCCTAGAAGATGCTTCTGGAAATGATGTGTCCAGAAAAGGCACATCCTTCTAATAGGGATTCATGTTGGCATGTCAGTAAGGCGCAGGAACATTATTATGTCTTTATATGGATATAAATTTTGCTTTGACAACAATAAACTGCTTACTACTGCCCTGATAAGTAATACTAGCTAATATAATGATATGAATTTAACATTACTTTCAACTATACCTCTTCCTCACATACAAGTTGTTTTGTTAACACTCAGATGCAGTTCACAGAATAAATGTCTACTGGGAACAGGAAATTCTTTCTATGCAGGGAAGTCAAGAAAATATATCAAGTGGTCATCTCAAAGCAATCACAGAATCAACCAGGTTGGAAAAGACCTTTAAAATTATCAAGTCCAACCGTTACCCCAGGATTGCCAAGGCCACCACTAAACCATGTCTCTAAGGGCCTCATCTACACATTTTGTGAACGCTTCCAGGGACGGTGATTCCACCATTGCCCTGGGAATCCTGTTCCAGTTCCTGATCAACCTCTTGGAGATGAATAATCAATACAGCAGGCCCTTCTTCTATTCTTCTATTCATTCTGTGAAAGACTTCTCAGAGACAACACACTGAAAATATATGCCAGACTTCTTCAAGTTAGACTAACCTCAGATATTGATAAGGAACTGTAACTATCTCATTAGGCAAAGAGGATCATAACCACCTCCCTTACTGAGGCTAAACCGGACAAGGTGACAGATTTGACAACTATAGCTTTGCAGGGCTATATTGGGAGTGTAAGCAGCTAAATCCTGGCAGCTACTGAGGCTCTACATCCAAATGAGATAATAAGGAATTTCCAAAGGACTGACTCATCCTAAGGCTAAAGGAATGATGAAATGCTGCATGTTGGATCTTTCCATCAGCTACAGGCAGCTGGCTCAGAGAGACATCTCCATTGTGAGCACTTTGAGTTAAGAGGAATTGATACCACCTCCCTGACTTATTTCAGGGATCTTAATTATACTAGCGATAGAAGCAGCTGTGATGTTCCGTTCTTAGGCAATGAAAACTTATATTGCAGACAAACAAGCAGCTGCAAGCAAAGCTGGGCCACAACTTCCTCTGCCCATGATTTTTCAAATGTCACCAAAAATGCTACAAATGAAAGCCCAGAAATTCAGATGTCCCCTGGAGACTCTTGGTTGTGGAAAAGGTAGCGTTACATACAGCTGTTTCTGAGTGGACAACTTCGGACAACTGCTGAGGAACTACATGCTGATTTTGTTTGCTCTTTGGAAAATTACTTAATTTTAAGCCTCAATATAAACTGTGTGACCATGAACTATTACAACATCAATCTCGTTCTGTCCCCTGACCTGATGTATAGAACCACTGAGAGTACACTCTACCTGTTCTGTCAAGCCTTTAAAGAGAGCTCTGGTAATGTTAATCAAGTTTTTGGATCCAGAAACCTTGGCATACATGTCTTTGATGCCAATTAGTTTGCAGATGGTGATGATAGCTCGGTGGCAATGAAGACCATACCCTGGGGGGAAAAATATAAATTAGCATTATATGATTATTTATAAGCATGCAACTTAGCTAAGGAAGAACAGAGAACTAAGACCTCTTCTTATTTTTGTTTCCTAGCACATTAGAATACATTATATCTTAAAAATGGCAAAACCATTCTGATAAGACCATTCTTCCCAGGCTTTGCTGCCACGTTAACATAAAGATCATGGGAGCTTTTGTACTAAATATACCTTACTTAACATAATGCAAAACCAGATGAAAATGTCACCACCTAACCCAAAGCAAAACCATGAATAATTCAACCTGAAGAATTGTTTAAAATGGCAGGTTTGGGTAGTACTTCTTAGAAGTACCACTGGCAGCTTTAGAATAATCTTCCAAAAACATAACCTCCCACCCTGGGAACACTGACCAAACAAAAGGCAATTCCCTTTTCCCACTCAGCAGAAAAATAACACTAGTACTTCCTGATGATAATGATAACAACAACAATAATAATATATTAGCAGAGAAGCAAGGCAACAAGTTTACTTAAAAGAGTATTGAAAAGAAGCCACTAGAAGGGTAGAGGATCCAAATGTAACTGGATCACAACCAAGACTGTCTCTTCTAAAAAGCAGTATCTACACAGCTTCAAAGCCACTTCCTGTGCAATTTCAGGTGATCAGCTGCTGAATAACAGCTTCAGTAATTCCTAATGGTGATAAATCTGACTTTAAAGTCCTAGTTCATATACATGATGGAGGGATTTAAACTGGTCTCCTATGGTGAAGTTACTGCTCAAAACAGCTGCTGTGCTCAAGCACTTCTGTCCTTTGGGCATCCTTCCAGAAGGACCCAGCAGTAGAAGCAATGTCAGTGTCTCTCATTCCCAGGGAGATTGCTGCTGGATGAGAGGCTTATAGTGCCTTCCTTAAAGGCTGAGATTGTGCTTAAGACCTCTATCAGACACAGAGCAGGCAGAGAAAACTGGAGAGGAAAGGAAAAGGGAAATCCCAAGTCCATGGGCAATAAAGTTCCAATAGGAAAGTCCAATCTAAACACAGAGCTGCTGGGAAAGAGCCTGAGTGCCCACTGGCACTGGGGTCTCTTGCTGCTCACAGGCCTTCGGGTAGCCAAAAAAACCCTATCACATTTTCATTTTATGCAACTCTTGGTAAGCAAAGCTTTGAGCAGTGAAAGTGGGATGAGGCTGCCTGCAAATTCAAGAAGGCATCATGGCACTGACTCAGACCAAATTCACACTTGGTAGTTGATCTCCAAAATGTGAACCTGTTACTTGCCTCCTGACCCAGCAACAGCAATTCACCAGCTTTAGTCTATGCAAAATACATAGCCACCAGCCATGAAAAAGTTATGCTCTTCCCTTTCAGCTTACAAAAGCTACTAGAATACTATGCACTGCCAAGAGAGTAAGATGGCACTGATTATCAAGGTACTGTGCTGAGACATCACTTCCTTTCTCCTGGCCCAGCAACTAGCATGAATTACACTTTGTTATTGCATCAGTGGCACAGTGTGAAGGATGGAATGGAAATGAAGGTGACAGTCTCCTTGGAGCGAGAATTACTGGAAACACAGCAAAATATATTTCTAGGAAAAATAATTATTTTAACTAAGCTTAAAGAACAAACGAGTGTTTCGACACTCATTTGTTTTCAACTTATTGTTCAAAGCAATAAGATCATCCAAAAAAAGCCAAATTACAAGCCTGTAACTGTAACAACTTGAAATTTATAGGTGAGTGGGGAGGCGAAACAAACATATTTCAAAATCCACAAACACAGAGGTTTGCATATCATCTACCGCCATCTCCAGAGTGTTATATTAGCTCTGGTGCATAACTGTAATATATTAGCAAATGGTTTCTTAGACTTGTCAGATTTTGATGAAGGACTTATATTTTGAGGAGTCTAATTTTGCTCTCTTGTTCCCCCAGAGAGTTTTGTTTCACGTGGCCTAGTTCTACTAGTCTTTAAAAATTGGTTTGTGATAGTTCTAATGTATCTTACTTAAAAGCTGAAAAGCAGGTTATTGATTAGTCCACTCCGGGGGACAGTTTTGCTGCTCGCTAAATAAGGACAAAAGTCTATTCCAGCGCTGCATGCTTTATTGTGCCAGTATGTCTCCTTTTCTTTTAGTCTATAATCAGAAAAGAAACTATGACCATCCAAAGCCATTTGTTCTGCCATTTGTTCTGCCTATCCCTCACACGTGCAATTTAATTTTTGCCTTATGTCTGACCTGGCCACTAGAGACAAAGCCCCACCTGAAAGAATTCTGAAAGGAAAATTTCCTTCTCTAGTCTAGAGAACAATAGCCTTCCCTTTTAGTTACTATAATGGTGAAGGGAAAACCACAATGGCTTCTGGCATTAATAGCGCTGGGGTCAGGATGATGCCTATGATGCATGCAGAATACACATGATGCATGCAGAATTGTTTTGGCTAAATGAGCAACCTGGTGTGGTGGAAGGTGTCCCTGCCCATGGCAGGGAGGTTGGAACTGGAAGGTTGCTTCGAATCCAAACCATTCTGTGATTCTGTGATTTGAGAAAATACTTTTTTCTATGCTACAAGACAAAGTCAAGTTTTAGACGTAATTACACGGGAATGACCTCTGAAAGGCTGTTTGTCAAAGATTCATTTTCAATGCCTTTTAAAGCTTTTAATTTCTGGCATTTTTATTGTGCTTTTCTCCCATCTGATCTCAGCCAGTCTTCTGCAGACTGTTAATACACAAAACAGAAGCCAGCAAACCAGTCCATCAGTCACTGAACAAAATTTATTCTGAACACAAAAGCAAAGGATTTCAACTACAAACTCCAGCTGTGGAAAAAAAGTTGGGGTCAGACATTTTTAACTTGTCTGTGGCAGGCATGCTGCCTTACTGAGGTTTAATTCAGTGAGGCCTATGTAAGAGAAAAGGGTCATTTAAATGTAAAACATTTTCTTACACTGGAAAAGATAAAAAGGTAACCAAAAGTAGTATTTAAAATTTATCCCTCCTATAATCTAACACAAACTGTTAAGGAAATCTACATTAGATTTCCACTAACACCACTTTGGAAGTAAAACACCCACTTTAAATCCACACTAAGGGACTAGTTCACATTCACATGCTCACTTCACATTACTTCTTTAACTTGGATTTTCACTTGTCTAATATGTAATCCTGACTATATGATGGGTTTTTTCTCTACTTTGCAGGGACTAGGAATAAATTAAAGAATGGAACTTTTAAGTTTAACAGTGACTTTACCTTTTCTACTGGAACATTAGGCTTTGTTGTGATCATTTGCTGAGATAGCTGCCTGAGTCCTATGTACAGGAACTGGAAATAAACTGCCAGCTGTAATTATGCAAAGTGAGAGGCTTCAGCACACATAACCATAACCATACAGCTGTAATGCCAGCAGCAAAAAGAGGGTACACTTTAAGTCTACATATGCCTAATGTGAAAACTATGAATAACTGTAATTGTTTATACCTATTAATTACAGCTACAAGGTATCAGTGCTGGGCTTCACAGCTACGTAAGTGTATTTGACAAACTGCTCTGCGTTTCCCCTTATTAATTCACATCAGGAACTAATTTACAGTACTTAGGAGTGTATCAATGTGGTTAGCACAGCAGTCTCATGACTACTGTAATTCTAAAGTCAAACCAGAGATGAAGATTAAGAGCTGTCCACACTCCAAAAGGTAGCATATTCTACAGCACAGATGATATACCCCAGCCATCCAGCCTGCACGTGCTATAAACAGGAGTGATCTGGAATGGTAGCAGACATGAAGTCCAGGGCCTGTCTCATGTTAAAGCTTGTTCTGTAGTATGTTCACAAGTTATTTAATTGTTCTAAAATTACAGCCAGCTCCTGCTGCTGCTATATCATCCTCCCCTTAGAGTACAGCACAAAAGCCTGTTAGAGATTAAAGGTAAAATCAGCAAGAGCTCTCTATATATCATCCCTTAATAACTCTATTTTGCATAGATATATAATGTTACAGCTTGTTTTCAGGTCATGACCACATAATGAGGCCTCCATCACACACATGCAATTTAGCTACAAAACGTTGCACACTAATCTACCATTACACTTCTTAATAAGGCCGATGATGCCTGCTGTCCAGAGCACACTGGACATAAGCACAATTTTTTCTTGACAACATCAAACCTGTTTCAGGAAATGTACGATCTAGTTCCATCAGTTATAAAACAGGGAAAATATTCATTGAATGGAAAAGTGTTTCCTGATTTTTGGAGGATACTTGGTTATATGTGAATGTGTTGTATAACTGAAAAGACTGGCAAGATACTCAGACAAGGCAAAGAACTGGCCAAAACTGGCAGCAGCAAGATACCAAGGCTAAAAGTGCTGATGTGAAAGAACTGGACTTGTATTCTGATGCAGGTCAGCATGATACTCTCACAGATAAACTAGGGAAATAAGAACCAGGCAAAATCATCATCTAAGTATGCATACCCCATTTCCAGCACTCTGCTGTCAGGCCAAGAGCTGAATAGGGCAGAGGACCTGGTGACACAGGACATAGAAAAGGACGAGGTACTGGAGGACCCAGGAAATTACAGGCTAATCAGCCTCACCTAGATCCCTGGGAAGCTGATGCAACAACTAATTCTTAGAAACCATTTCCAGTCATACGATGTATAAAAAGGTGGTCAGGAGGAACTACTCTTAGGAAGCATGAAAGAAAACCACAAATGGAGCTCCCACCAGTGTAAGAGGCACAAACCCTGATTTACAATAACAAAACCATGTCATCAACAGTAGGTGTTTCTAACGAAAAACAACTGTCATCTTTAGCATTTAAAACACTGTAAACTAGCACCAAATGATCCATTTCTGAAGTGAACAGGCATTGCACACATTATAAATACTGGTCAGTAATGGATAAAGCTTCAAAATTTCCAGGCAGCTTTAATTACCTTTGTTTTGCTTCTTCATGTGGATGGTTGTTCTTTTAAATTTCACTTTAATGTCATGGTAAACTGGAGGGGAAGAAAAAAAAAAAAAAAACCAAAACAACAGGCATTACAGCTAAACTCTTCCTTCTAGAAAAGCTTTAGCTCAGCATATTTAATGAGTACCTTTCTTTTTCAGATCTGTGAATGGGAAGTTGGTTTTACTCTCCTCTGAGCAATTTAATATTAAGGACTAACAGAGGTAAATTTCTGGAATAGGTTAGGAAAGTTTACACATCTGTGAATAGTATGTTACTATTGTATACAAAACAAAGCTTCACTTGAAAAATGGGAAGTGTGTGTTTATCTCCAATGATCCTTACCTAGCTTTGAAGTGAGGTCACATGATTCAATTTAGCCTTCTTCCACATACTCAGATCTTCCTAATAATTCAGCTTCTAACCTAAGATTTCCCCAGAGGCTTCAGCATTCTTGGATTTTCCATACAGAATATTTATCATTCCAATCTTCCTGCTTCTCTCTGCTTCAAAATGAACCCCAAACTCATATCCTCTGGTGGGTGGCTGTTATATAGATCTGATTCAGTGGTTCAGTCTCTGCACAGTGGGTTCTAGCACTGCAGTCAAGATGGCTCATAGAGGACCCCTATGTTAAATAGAATGTAAAACATGGTGGAAATGCCACCAGTTTTTAACCAGATCCCTAAACAGTGTGGAATAATAATGCTCAAGGAATAGATGTGTGAAGGTAACTGCAGTTTTGTATTTGTAAGCTGGTTTTATTATGCTGAATATTTACCTCCACAATGACTTGGTTATTCATATACTCTCTAAGGTACTATCTTTCAATTTTTTTTCTGAAAGATAACTGAATATTTGGTATACTGGTACCATGTCTGACATCAGAGAGGACATGTTTGGTATTAAATTGAATTAACAAAAAGCAACCATGAAACATCATACTTCTCCAGCCCACATTCTCCCTTGGCTGCTGGGCTTTGTCAGCAATACATGGATTGACCCAACAGGGAATCATCTCTGATGTACAAAGGGGAAAAGCACAGACAAGTTCACCATAGAGAAGAGATAAACCACATATTAATTTCTGATAATGGCAATTTATTTTATACACGGATTGACAGACTACGTACTCTGACAAGACCACCATCTAGCTAAAAGAGTCTAGATCTGAGATTTCACACAGCTTGCAAAAGAAGCAAAATAATGCATGAATAATACTAATACAATGCATCAGATCAGACAGGTTTTAGTTAACATCTTTTTATGCTTTTTAACAAGTTGCAGTCAGTTCTTGTCGGTATATTCAGTACTTATTTAGAGTCTAAGAAAATCATAATACTTACTAGTGTGGTTCTGATACCGCTCTATAAAATGTAAGCAGCGTATTGCTTTATTCTTTGCCTAGGGAATAAAAGCAGAAAACATTTTTTTCTTGATTATTTTCTGCAAAGTATTGGAAATTTACCACTGTTCATTTAACTAGACAATAAAAAAAAGCAAGAAAAAAAACCTTTGGAAACAGGATGGCTACATCTAATACACTTATTTTATGGAAATGAAAATGTTCTCTGTAAAGAACTGCTTTCTCCAACCAGATTTAATATTTTTTGAAAATTCTCAATACAGTAACAACTTTATCAAACTTTGTGTATTTTAGCATTGCTACATCGATAGCTTAGTTGAGCATTGTAACACAAACTAGTTAATGCAGATGGACAAATAACATTTTGAAGTCTAAAGGAGCCTTTTAATATGGTCATTATACATGTGTAAGAGAAAATTTTCTACACACTAACTGTATAAGCAGATTGTATGCCATATAGCATTGAAACAAGTGACTATGAGGGTATAGGTATAAGCCATAGAAAAGGGAGCAGAAATAAAATAAAGAGTGCATTAAGAAAATCCCATTGCAAAGCAACCTCATTATGTGTGTCCAAAGAGCAATGAAGCTGGTGAAGGGTCTGGAGCACAAGTCTTCTAAGGAACAGCTAAGGGAACTGGGGTTGTTTAGTCAGGAGAAAAGGAGACTTCGGGGAGAACTTATCACCCTCTGTAACCACTGAGGTTGTAACGAGGTGGGTGTTGGTCTCTTTTCCCAAGTAGCAAGTGATAGGATGAGAAGAAACAGCCTCAAGTTGTGCCAGGGTAGATTTAGATTGGATATTAGGAAAAATTTCTTCACTGAAAAGGTTATCAAGCATTGGAACAGGCTGTCCAGGGCAGTGGTTGCCAACCCTGGAGGTATTTAAAGGCATAGTGCTTAGGGACCTGGTTTAGTGGTGGACTTGGCAGTGTTAGGTTTATGGCTGGACTCTACAACCGTAAAGGTCTTTTCCAACCTAATGATTCTACGATTACTTGTATCAAGGCAGACAAATCATGTATATGGACTTACTTCTTTGCATACACTATAAAGATATTGATCATAAAAAGAAAAAAAAGTGTAGGTATGAATTATATGTGCTTATCATCACGCAACAAGTAATCCAATCAACATACTTTCCGTAAAGCATTCATCCTGTCACCTGCTTTCCCCATTGCAAAACCTGCAAGAAAGAAAAGAGTCACTTTATTACTGAGAAATAGATGAGGCAGGACCTTCATACAGCAAAGGGGAAAAACCAGAAAACTTCACCACCACATTTAGTATCTGTTATCTCCACTCCACTGCACAGGTCATACTCAGAAAATGGTTCAGAGAAAACAACAGAAAGTACTAGTTTAGGAGTTATGAATACCTAATAATTGGATGCCAACTGCTTGTTGTCAAATGAAACAAATCTTATTTTGTGTATTTGTCCAAACTTGTACCAAGCAGTTGAATAATAGTGACTGTTTCAGCCAAAAAGAGTCCAGCCTCCTGCTTAAAAAGAAAGAAGGGAATGAAGAAAACCAAAAGGAATCTGATGCAGGTAAGAGCTCCAAGACCCTAAAACCAATGCAGACTGGGTTTCTATTAGTGAGAGTATCAAAACCAGGTTGTACAGAATAGTGCATCTGCAAAAAAAATGCATGTCTGTAGAACAAAGAACAGAGTCTGTTTTGACTGCCAGTTTACAAACTGCTACATAATCTCTCTGAACCCTCAGACCTACTCCTATTTACCAGGTCAGTGGTAGTGACGAAAAGATTTCACAGCAGTCTCAGAGTATTTGCAGTCAGCTCAGAGCAGGGCATCAACTGACTGTATGGAATGAATAAGAGGATGTGACAACCATTTTCGCTAACTCTGTAGTCCAACAATGTCGAAGTAGATTGAATGAAAATCATTTCATTTCAAATCAGCAGATCTAGCTTCTTTGGTCCTTTGATACAAAACAAAGCGTCCAAATGAATACATACATAGTTTGATTATAAATCTTACTTCTATAAATGAAACTCAAAATTCCTACAGATATTTCAATATTGCCAAGTGGAAAAAAGGTTGGTGGGTTGTTGTTTTTTTTTTTTTTAAGTATTAAAAGTCCCTTTAAGTCAACCTTGCCTCCCAAAGTCCTATTACAAACAATGATTAACTTGGTACCTTTTACATACAGTAAATGCACATACCTGCAGCTCCTTTACCATTTCCAATAGCCACCAAGGCACGTATTGATTTTTTTCTGCCTTCCTTTGCTTTCATACAAAACACATTTTTCACCTGAGGAAAAAAACCAAACCACAAAGCATCTTGTGATGGCACAGTCCAACTGTTTCTGTTTGTTTTTAAAGAGATTCAGTTTACCAAAAAGTAATTAGAGGTCTGTGATGAAACCATCCGATATAAACTGTCTTTGTCAATGGGCATCATCTGCAAGTGGAACACTGGCATAAAGGCATTAAATATGTAATGGCTGCTAGAAGTCTATACTCAGACACAGAAGTTAGCTCAGTAAAGTTTCATTAAAATATCCCCTTTTGTATTTAGCTTCACAACAGATAATGCTCTGCTGCTGTGAGCTTCACGTGTGATTTCAATTGTGATGAAAAAACATGGAAAAAAATTGGAAGTGACATAAATATCTCATTGCCCCCCTCACATTTTAACATATTTTAGAAGCACTCAGAGGAATTATTCGAGTCATGCTGTTGCTTTACATGAGTATAACTTAGCACTGAAATCTACTTGCAGACTGCAGAAGGCAGTTTCATTACTGAGATGACAGCTGCTAAAAAGACTCCATTTAAGAAAGGGGAAGAAGAAAATAGTATTCCATTCCTGGAACTGGGAATGTTTTCAGAAACTCTGCAAGGAATTCAAGCAGAAATGCAAGAAAGCTATTTAGTTTGGAACGGGGGGACACAACTGGGGAGACAGGTGGCCTTATGGTTAGCATTCTGGAAACCTAAACTTGCTTCTGTCTCTGCTACAGATTCCCCCTATGTGACTCGATGCAAGTCACTGCATTATAGTCTCCCACCTTGAATGACCTAATGTATCACCAGAGATCCTGCCCAGCTGGCTCCTGTTCTAGTGTCCTTGGTTTTGTTTACATATTAGAATATATTTTTACTTAAATATAGACATATATTTTCATATGTATTTTATATACTGTATACAATGAACTATATATAATACATATCTCACATGTAATGTAATGTAATATAACATATATAATACAAAAAATACATACACATATAAAATAACTTACTGGATGTTGCTTGACTGTGTCTTAGAATTACCAGTCACAAGATTCAACGTACTTCATGGTTCACTTCTCCCCTTTCTTTCAAATGCACCAGGGCCTACTTTCTTGAAGCCTCAATATGATTTCCATAATTTATCACAACAGCTAAATTAAACATGCATTACTGATATACAAATTAAGCAGTGCCCCCCCTTTTTCCCTGTATGTAGTTCTTCAGTAAGCTAGACTAGTTGTAGTGTTGTATCTGAAAGCAGGTTATTATACAACACTTGGTCATGGCTTAAACATGCTTCCTGAAATTCATACACCACTTTCCCCACACACACACACTCCCCGCCAAAAATCCCCTCCCACCCCAAAAAATTCCACTGACATCACAAGGTACAGATTAGGAATGAGTGCTTCTGAAAAAATCCACCTTGCTTTCATTAAAATAAAGATGCTGTTAAACTCAAGGTGCACATTCTAGAGAGCACTTTGAAGAAATATCATCTTTGCTAATGGCTTATTCCGAGCTATTTTTATTTCTGCAATCTTATTGCTTACAAGCAGAAGCTAAAAAAACCAAGCCCCCTAAGATGAAAGTACCTGTGGAAATAGGCTATTTACAGAAAAGGCAACATGATTATGAAAGAAGAGAGTGAAGTAGAGTGATCTCCCCAGGAGCATCAAGAGCATATTATTTTTGCTGTGCACACACTTTTTTGTCTTCCACTGCCAATCTGAATAAGTACGTGTAAAAACTCAAAAGTTGGCATGTATATTGTCAAAATCAGAGGATGTGATGTTTGTAGAAATCTACTCAAGAATTATTTTTCTCCCTTTCCAGAAGGTGGCAATAAAGACACATGCAATGATTTCTCCAGAAGGCTTCTTAAAACTGCACTTGTCAGCTGTTTCTGAGCAGCTCTGAAGGAAAACGTGTTCAGTCACCCATCACAATCAGTGCTACTGCATCTCTCCTGAAACACTGTGAAGGCCTTTCAAGTTTGATAATGTACACAGGCAGCTATGACTACTGAACAACACTGTCCTTAGATTCTCCCTGCCACAGCCCCATGCCTCCTCACATCTAAGCAAGCAGTGCTCCTCTGGAGTGCGCTCAGCACTGCTTCCTTTCCATCTTGAAAAGAAAGCATGCAGCTTAAAGCCTATCATTAAACTGCATTGGAATTAAATAATATACAATGAAACAGTGTGACACTTTTAAAACAGCATGGCCTCTGAAAAGTGACTGAAACTAAGACACAATTACCCCTATTTACTAGATTGCCACTCAAGCTGGATTTAACAATAATTTTTTAAATCTGAAAACAGATGCATTCTCAAGCTTAATCACAGTGTACCTCAAATTGACTGTCTCCCTGCACCCATTATCCAGTGGTCATAGCGCAAATTCACCTAGATCCCTCCCTAGTTCTCCCTTTGGTTCCTGCCCCAGACATCCCACAAGTCTTGTGCAATACTAGAATTCTCTTCCCCTGCATTACATGTGTCCCCTATCCCTCAGCAGTAACCCCCACATAGTCTGTAAGGTGCTCTGGAAAGCCACATCTTAATAGATGTCATCCCTGGACCACGGGGCTGATGCCACTCCAGTACAGCCCCAGGAGGAGCCAAACAGAGCGTCTGTTTCTCCGAGTCTGTAATTTTGGCTCCCCTGCCTGCCTTCGTGCTCCTCTGGTCTGTGCACATGAGACACCAATGCATTTACGGTTCTCCTGTGATGGTCTTGGGAGGAGTGCTGGCAGGGTGTCACTTGGGTTCCTTTACCTGCTATTGCCTCTGCACTCCTTTGTGTATGGGCAGAGACGTCTTTTTATCACATAACCTAACAGTCAGTGCTCTCTCCATCTTGGTCATCAGTAGAATGATTCTCTCTTGAGGAATCTGATTCAGCAGCTATAACCTCAGAAGCAGAAAGATTAGAACAAGCCATCCTGCTTGCAGTAAATCCACCCCCCAAGTACTCAAGGCAATGGAGAAACTGCAATACAGAAAACAATCTGAACTCTTCTACCCCTCGCTCAGCAAACAGATGAAAGTTTTTGACCAGGCACTTGAAGTGTTTTTCATAGCAGTTGAGTCATCACAGCTCTGGGACAAACCCCAAGTGCAGTTCTCATCCAGATTAATGAGCCAAACCTGCAGAGAAACTACTGCCTAAACTGTAGTTAGTGCTGATAGTTTTCCTGTGGAACTCTCTCATTTTTATAACTCATGAGGAAAAATAAGATGGCTCATATGCCCTACCAACACAGCATGTTGTCTATTGTGGCTTCATACTACAGCTAATATCTGAGTACAGATCCTTTGGATTAACCCCACAATAATGCAAGCCTAAAAGGAAACAAATGGCTTTGTTTCCTTTCCAAAGGATGATCCATAATCATGCCAAATTATTACCCGCTTAAAAGCTTCTGAATGTTCTAAAGGCCAATTATTTCATCCATACTGCCTGACAGGTAAAAGGGATAAAAGACTGAATTATTTAATCAACAGAACCAGTGTAAGGTGGTATCCCTAAATGCTACTTCAAGAGCAGGCCAAAACTCTTGAGAACCCCAAGAATATCAGAAATGAATTCTAGTACACAGTTCTTACCTCTCGCTCTTTCCTCTGACAGGTTGCTTCAGATGCTCTCTTAGAAACTGTCTGAAATTTTCATTGTCAGTCTAAAGACACTGTCAGTATCATCCAGGGAACAGAAAACTTCCCTGTAGTTTTAAAAGCAAAATCTAGAGCTTCAATACCCCAAAAGTACTTTTGAGCCAATATCTCACTTGAAGTAAATTATTACTCAGATAGTATCCTGTCTACCATATAATTTTTCAGTCAAAGATGTCAAACAATGGATCTCAGACACTGTAATTTCATGCATCATTTCCTTTTCACAAGCCTTTTTTTTATTGCACCCTTTGCAAAAACAACAGCTAGAAAATAATTTCCAATGACTTACAAGAAGAAAAGAAGGGTTTAGACTACATATTAAGGAATATTCTTTTTGGTACAAGTAACAAGTCTACCGAGATTAATTCTGTGGTCTTAAAACAAATACGTACTCATGGGGTTTTTACTGCTTCATGGAAAATTGAAACTATGGTCTTATACTCCCTACAAACAACCTCCTGCTGCAGATAGACAATTTATTTTTGTTTAGTGGATGCAGAACAAATGACGACAGAGTGATATAGTTAGTAACTGTCTTCTGTGTTCATATTCCCTACAGTCGCATGCACTTTTGTGGCAATACATTTAGGAATACGTAAGAGAGGTTCTTCATATCATTTTGACCCAACGAACCTAAGCTTTTTTGGATTTTATCTGTTTTCCACATGCCAACATAGAGCTACTGCTTCTGAGGCAAGTTAATGCTCTTGCTCTGATTCTGGCTAACACGCAGCTCATGCTAACGCCTGGCGTATGCTCAAGCAGCTCCATGAGGTCAAAGGAAGAGCAACACAGGCAAACATCATGCCCAAGAAGGTCATTATTCAGCCACTGCCACCTGCAGCTTACCATCCCCTGCAGTGATCATCCCTGCACAGTGATTGCCAGGCAGGCAAATTCACAATCCCCTAGCTCATGGCAGTTGTACAGACCAAACTTCCAAGGTGGATGGTATAAATATGTCAGGTTATCCAAAAAGATTTTGAAATGGATCCAACAGCAGTGCACTGCTGAGGTTTTCACGCTTCCCCTGTGATACAGGGAAGCACTGTGACAAAGGAGCAAGGATGAGAACTCAATGTTAGTTTGGCAACTATTTCACTCACAGCTGCACAAGTTACAAGTTGAAAGTTACAAGTTATGAATTAGAGAACTTTTGATTTAGAAACCTCATGAATTAAGTGATGAACTAGTGAATTCACATGTTAGACTAGTCAGTACAAAGGGGATTCAGCACTTGTTTGATGTGTGTGTTTTCCTTCCTAGTAAGCTCATAAGATAAAGTTTAATTTCCAGAGTATGCTCCCCGTCATGAAACACTCAAAAGGGACACTTTCAGGTCTTACTGATTACTAGGTCTCACTTCCTAATTTTGATTGCACTACTAGTACCACTATAATACAGGATATCATGTAAGCTACTTTACTTACTATGTTACCATGTTGACTTTGGAGAAAAATAGAAGAAAAATTTATCTGAGAATGGATGATACACAAAATTAAGCCTTCCAGTTAAAATAAGAATGGCATATTTCAATTACAGTCATAAATTTTAATTACCATTATTATTACATTGTGTTGATGTAAACAAGGTAGTAAATACTACCTCCAGTTCTAGTCACAGAAATTCTTCTTATATGAAATATATGAACAAACAGGAAACGTGCCTTCAGGTTGGCAGGGAAAGAAACAAACAGGTAGCCCAAATCACCCACTCTAAGTAGGAAAGCCTGTAGGAAAGCCAGAAACAAACCCAATATGCAATCCCTGCTGTTGTCCCTTAACACTCTCTCAAGCTAGCTTTATCTCTCTGACAACTTTAGCTCTAATTTACATGAAAATCTGACCTTGTTTGTACCCTATTCTACAGCAGGGAAAAATCAAGTTTGCTTTTCTGTTTCGACACTATGAGAAAACACTTTAATAAACAATTTCTCACTTATAGCAAGGGAGCACAGTCTTTTTATTAGCATAACCAAGACAGAAAGAGGCTTTTGTATCTTTGTCCATAAAACAGTAATTTAAAGTGGCTTTCAGTTTCTTGCTGCGAAGTATAATTTCCAAACAAACATTACTTTAATCTCCTGTAGTGTTGTAAAGATAATGGAAAAGACATACAGAAATAGCCATCTATTTAAAATAAGAATGCTAAAAAAGATCTGTTTATTTCAAAACTCATACTATCAGAAAATGACTGGACTCTATTATCTTGGGCTCACTACTGGTTTCGAATACAGAACTTTGTGCTGCTGCTGCTATTCTTTTAAAAAAAAAAACAAAAAACCCAACCCAAACCACCAAAACCAACCCATTCCTCTCACTCAGTTCACAACTGTGGCAACCTCATGTAACAGTGGAGCCTCAGCCTGCTGTTTTATTATTCAAGTATAATAAAGCATTGAAACAATTTCTATAGCACAAGGAAGCACTGCATAGCATTTTGTTGTTTAATAAATCTAACTGCAAATCATAATGCCAGCACAAAAAGGCCAGCTTTAGTAAATACCTACTATATAGTAAACAAACTGACAGTCAGTCGAGACATGTCACAGTAACAAAATAGCAGCACTTTTCTGCAATGTGCCCTTTCGATTAACTGAAAGCGCTTCCAACTGCAGGGCTCATTAACAAAAATCACTTCTATGAGCAGTGCCCATGCAACTCAGCTATCACAAGTTGCTTTCCAACACAGACACAGCTAAAGGCTAAGCGGTCTGGTCTCTGCTCCATCAGAGTCAAAGCCCTTAGTGCCCAGTCCAAAACCTTATTTACTTAAAGGGGCTTTAACAATATGTGTGGGTTTTCCAAACCCCACAACAATCTCTTGTGTGTACAGCTACTCCTGATCTAAGAGTAACTAAAAAAACCTCAAAAAACAAACAAACAAAAAAAAACCCAAAAGAAAGAAGAAGGTTTTTCTGATTCTTCAGCATCCCATATGAAACCACACATCCCTGTGATTTTAAACCTGAGAATAATAGATTAATTTTGTGTGTTAAAATAAGAATGTATGAAAAGCGTATGGTGCAGTTCAGGACATCTCATTAATGCTCACATAAATGTTCATTTTTATTGCATTTATCATTCTCAACATAATCCCTAAAATACTACTCGATGGGAATTTGGTATGTATAGGGATCACCTGATCCACTTGGATATGATAAGAAGATCAACGGTTTTTTTTGCAATAATGCCATCCTTTAAAGGCTGTTTCAGAGAAGTCTGGACAAATGCACATCAGCATATTTAATAAAGAATAGAAGCATGCTACCCATTTATTACTGAAATAAACCACCTGTGGCATTAAGTGCAAGTTTGCTACTCATTTTATTTCCTGACATCTCTAGGCACCAATGACAAATCTGACAATAATATATTAGAGATACTTGAGAAAACAGAAAAAATCTTGATACCGAACTCATTTGTATAGGCTTATATTCATGTCTGTTTAAATATACATGTCATATATGAACTGTCAGTGAAGGTCAGATCCTTTGATAAATGTTATCTTAAGACTTAGACTGAATACACTCACTAATGTAAAAGATATACCTCATTAAAGTAACTTTAATTTATTTTGTTCTTGTGCATACCAGCACCACTTTACGCATTCTGTTGAAGATTCTGGTAAGTCAAAGTTGATCTTAAACAGCAATTTGGTTTTAAAATAAAGAGTGATCATTGTCAAGATAACAGATGGGACCCTACAAATACTGATCTTACTCCAGGTGCTGGAATGCTAAAAAGTTAAAAATGAAAAAATTTTGAGGACAAAAAAGTTTAAAGACAATTGAGGTCTGGCAAGAAAATCAGTGCTTGGCATTTATAACTTACTTAGAGATATGCAGGGCAGAACAAAGTTGCTGTCTCAAAGAGATTAGTCTGAATATGAGATTTTAGTATGACCACAATGCAAAATCTTGAGACTGAGTAACTGTTTTCAAGTGCATCTTACTAACTAAGAACCAGTTTTGTCAAACAAAGCATTTAAAAAGAATTTGCATGAAGGAAAATCAGCTCTACTAACAGTATATGACAGTGCATGATAGGGATATCTCTTGTGGACTTTGGTAGTAGAACACAAGGCGCTGTGAGTGAAACTAAATAGAAATTCAAAACACAAATAGATTCTTTGGAACAAATACCTTGTCTGGACACAGGTACAACATAATACTGGTTAAAAATAGTGGTAAGGTTTCAAAGACTTGTTTGGTAAGTGAAGCTGTAGTAATGACAAGAGTAAGGTGATGAACAGTCATCTCTATGCATATAAAACTGTGTAACAACTCAATTGACAGACAATTTTATTGTGATAAAAGCCTGTCAACATTCATATTAAGCAAAAAGACACACTGTGCATCTATCACAGAATGTATACTGATTGAGGTTAAGACCTTGGCTCTCAGATGATAATGAGAAATGAGAGTTATCTCTTTCTCCAAGCAGCAGCTAGACTAGTATAGTTTTTCAATAATTAAGCAGTTAAATATTAATTGCAAATAAAGGTTCTGTTTACAATCCTGAAAGGAACATAAATTTAATAAGCAATTTCAGTCGTAGGTAAGTAAATACAGGAGAATGTTCTAAAGCGACAAGTTTAAACAATTAGTCATAGACAACATGGGTTCATGAGGGAAAAAGTCATCTTTAACTAACTTAATTTCCTTTTATGATAAGATCACCCATCTAAGCTGACTGAGGGAAGCCAATAGATGTGGGGTTTTTTTTTGATTTTAGCAAAGCTTCTGAAATTGTCTCTCCCAGTATCCTTATGGACAAAATGTCCAGCATATGGCTAGACATGTCTATAAATTGAGTGAACAATTAGCTGACAAGTCTGGCTCAAAGGGTTATAGTAAATGGGGTACATGAGGCTGCCAGCCTGTCACCAGTGGGTTCAATTTTAGGGCCAACACTGTAGTATTTTTATAAATTATGTGGATGCAGGATTGGAATGTACATTAAGAAAATTTGCCAACGATGCTAAATTAGGAGGAATTGTGGACTTCCTTAAGGGTAGAGCGACCTTACGGTGAGATCTGGATAGAGAGCTGGACCATCACCGAGCATATGAAATTTAACAGTATTTCTTCCCAGAAGATAGAATAAGTTAAAACATCTAGGACAAGTGAATATTTTATTACTTGAAAGGCATAAAAAATGAGATCTTCATTCTACTCACTCTGTGCCGTGTGCAACCGCTCCCTCTTCTTTAATTCCTTGTTTTACAGGCAGAGTTATACAACTTCCTATCTGTAGTTTGTCTGAGAAATAACCCTACCTCTTTACTATGGTAAATTTTTCCCTCTTACGGTTGTCTGTGAACTAGTAAAGCTTTATTTGCAGGCATTTACCATTTCAGAGATACTCAAAACCACCTTTTAATTCGATATCATTTGCTCAGCAGAGAAGATAAGGCCCCAATGAAAAGAGGAACAGCTGAAACAGAATACCAGACTAATTCCTACTGCTGTAAGATTGACTTGGCAAAGGCTAGTTAAATAACTGCAAGCTCAATATAAAATAGTGACAATTATTTGAAGTCCTTAAAAAGATTTGTAATGCTTACCTCAATGACTCTTGTTTCAAAATCTTCATAGGTTTCTGTTGGGAGAAAAAAATAGGGCATTACATTTCCTTGTATTACTTATCTAACAGCACAGCTCTCTGCAGGTGGTATAATTTAAAAAGGACACAATTTTTATGTAACTGTAATTTATAAATTAATCTCAGCAGTAAGTAGAAAAGGTAAGAATAATTTGAACAAACATATCTAAAGTGAGCTTTCTTAGTTGCTTCCTTTAAAAAGACCTCAAATACGGTTTTTTTACTTGACACAATTCACTCAATCATTCAATTTTTTAGAATAAGGCCAGTGACAAACAGCATCTTATTTATAAAGCATAGGTTTGGGTGTTTTGGGTTTTTTTTAATTTCTTCAGTAAAATCAACTTATGTGAAGAAAACTAGTTAGAAAAAAAATTCAGATAAATGGTAACTTCTCAGAAAGTGTAATACTACTTGTTATAATTACAATACAGCTTGTTATAATTAATAGCTAACAACTGTTATATATATTCATTGTGCTCTGTTAGGGACCCCAATCTCCAACTGCAATCAATAAATCTTCCATAAATGCAGTACCATAAATGCAGGGTATTAAAATGGAAGACTGTCCAATCTAAACAACCAGAGTAGCATACAGGAAGAAAAATAATCACTTTTTAAATGGTAAAGCAAGACATACAAATTTAACTACTTGCTTTGAACATCACAAAGAAAGCAAAGCTGACAGAAAAACTCAGACATCCTCAGAATCTGTTGAGTATTTTAATCACAGGCTAAGCTATACATCCTTCTTTCAGAAATCACTGCAACTCACCACTTACACTGAAGCCTTTTTTGTTAAATTATATCTGACATCCTTCCTCTTTCTTTCCAGCTGCAGAAATGCTTTGAGAAATAACTATCCACAGCATGTTATGAAAACAGAATGTTTTGGGTTTTCACTGGCTGGCAGTGAAATCCTTCCCTAAATACTACTCTAAAACTGCAAATGAACCTCCAAGTTCATATCCACTAAGCAAAGGCTGTAAATGGTTAAAAAGCAAAAGGTAATTCAACAAATGGGTCACTTCCATAATGACCTAACTATTATGCAATATTATTCAGAATATTCTGAAACTTCTATTAGGCAATCAACAGGGATTCAAAGAAATTGCAAGTATTTCTTAATACGTGTTTCTGTGAACTACGAAAAAGGGGAGGATAAACCAAAACAATATATAGCCACTTCAAATAATCACAAATCACGTATCCAGGATTCATTGGGTTTATTTCTCCTACCACCTTGACACCGCCAAGAAAATAAAATTCATACATGCATAAATGTTGTTTGCAACAGCTGCCACTTCTTTTAGTGGAATAAACTACTTGAAGATATATTTAAATTTAAAAACAGCACAGTCTTGTGTTCAAAGTATGAAACTAGAACTATGAAATTTTCTCAACTTTCTCTATATTCCACCACTGACTTACAGGGAATTTGTAACAATCTATTAATTTCTCAGATTTTTCAGTTGTAAGATTCAGTGACAGTCTGCCAAGTCCATTGCTACGTCACTGCCTTCCGTGGAATATTTGCTTTCAAGGTAATAAAATAAAACACGGAGAAGTAAATATAGAAAAGCTTTCATTTGTGTACTAAAGCATTATGTTGATATTAAAATAGAATGAATTGCTCTTAAAAATGAAGACAACAAAAAAAAAAATTTAAACAGATTGCCAGGCAAGCTCTCCTTAAATGAACAAGGTAAATCTGAGGAAAACCACGTATCTTAGGCACTACAGCAACACAAGCCACAAAATCATCTATTCCAGCTACAGGAATGGAAAACCTGAGAAGGGAATGGAGAAATAGCAGACAGCAACAATGGCATTAGTTTATAAAACAGAAAGCCACAAAAACTTCAATCTACATGGACAAAAGCAATAGATCACACTGGAAAGACAATGCTCTCACTGCCTTATGGCTCAGTTCAAAGCATGGCTGAATTTTTAGTTAACATCCAATAGAATGTAACCAGATAATATTCACAGACAGAAAATAAATTGATAAACACAAAGCATCAGGCAGACTGGGGAACAAAGGTGACTGCAAGATCAGGCAACAATATAATCATGATTACATGCATGTAATTTCCCATTTATGTTGACTTGTTGCAACATATGTTCCAAGACGCAAGCCTGCACTGGGATAACATATTCTTGGACAAAGAGAGCTCCGAAAACATGAATAAGCTTAACACTTGGAATGACTGCAACAACCCTGAAACAAGAGTGCTAGGAATAAATAAACAAACAAACAAACAAACAAACAAATTCGACTGTTTGTCTTAGCTCATCTTACTAGAAAAGCCTAAAGAAAGACAAAAATAAACATACAAGCATCATTAACTACTTCACAAGAAGAACTCAGCTGAATGAGTAACAACTCATTTTCGTATTTAACCAGTCAAAAAGAATTAGGCTTCTAAATGTTAAACAAAGCTACTATAGAATTTCTAGTGGTTTGAATCAGAGCACTGTAAAAAAAAGTTAAGGTCATCACTCTATGTACAGGACTTTTAGTTTCACTATGATGATTTAACAAGACAGCAAATAAATAAATAAATATCTTCTATTAGCTACATTCAAACTACATCATCTTTAACCACATTTCATTATTTGACTAGGAAAAAAAGCCTGATTAAGCCAACAGGATCCTTTAAGAAACCACAAAAAAACCCCATGGCTATATTTCATACTCCTGTAACAGTCTATAACATAGTATGTTACTCTGTGATACAATATAACATAATACAGTCTACGACATAGAGTCTAACAGCTATATTAAACTAAGCAGTGATTTAGCAAGTTTCACTTGTGTTAACACAACTTGTTCTTTGATTTAGCTGCCTTGCTTCATGTATGGGCATGTAAAAGAGAAGAACTAAAATCAATTTTCAGTTGCATGAAAAGCCTTGATCTCACTTACTCCAAGCCCCTTATCAGAAAGGCCAAGTAAGACTAAGACACATAATCAGTTTTCTTACCTCCATTAGGACCTGGGTCAGGAGGATCCAGGAGGACACCTCCCCAACACTTTCCACTCCATCCTCCCTGCCTCTTAATTTTTATCTTTCTTCTCTTCTCAAATGTATCCCTCTGCTGAATAAGTTCTGACTGAATTCTCTCTCGTTCTTCTTTTTTTCGTTGTGTAATTGTCTGGACTTGCCCACTTTGTATCACAGGAGCGTTAAGACCGGGCCAGAGGAATCCAGAACGTCCTTAAAAGTAACAGAAAAAAACATGGTTTATGCCAGATTAAGAATGAAACCCTGCACACTGGAAAAATGCAATAAAATGGAAGGTTCTCACATATTTCAAGTGCCTTTTATGATACAGAATTTATATTTAAAAAACAAGGACACATTAAACAATCAGGATTTTTTTTTAAAGACAAAAATATATCAAACAGTTCTGACATCAAAGAAATTAACAGCAATTCATTGATTTATTAAACCAAGAAACATTATACGTGAAAAGGTCAGGACATGTCTTCAGCCCCTTATTTATGAATCTACCTTCACCAATCGCCTGGCCTTTATTCAGATTCTTCCTTAGCTTTTTCTTCCTTCTCTTTCCTCTTCCTTTCTTTACTCCCACACCAGTCTCCGCCAAAGCTCCTTTCCACAGCTCATCAGCTGTCACTGAAATAAAAAAAGCTTTCATAAGCATTGTACAAGTACAGCTTACATAGAAAACTGAAGTTGAACATAAAAAAACCCCCCAATTTGAACTGTTAACCCTTGCTTGACCTTCACTGGGATTTAAACTGCCTTGCTAAGTGATTCTCTACTCTCTGTATATACATCTGGAGCAGAGATGTGCCTCTACTGATGACTGCAATTGGGTAGGCACACAGCCACGTGCATGGGTTTTTAAATCGATTTTGAAAATTCTTTTAAGGCAAACATTCCTAACCAGTAATCAGTGAGGTTATTAATTCCCAGATCACTAAAAGAAAATCATTCATTAGAACTCTGCAACAACACCTGTAAGCACTTATCCAAGGACAAATATCAATGACAGCCAACTTGAATCACTCCTAAAATTATCCAAGGATTAGCCTGCTTTAAAAAGCCACAAACCACAAGAAGTTAACCAACAACATAAATCTGCTGCTGTGTTTCACCCAGGGGCAATGTTACTATGGCAGTTTAAATCTCATCCTCTCTAATTAGAAACTGATTTTGTTTATTTGAAGTAAGAAAAAAAAATCCAGTAAATGCTTTTAACTAGGGAAATTAAAATAACTATGCTGAAATAGCTACAGTTTCCCATCAGCATTTCATGCATGCTAGATAAATGCACACGAGAGTCCTGACCCACAGACTGGCAAATGCATTAGAACTGGGGAAGCTCTGCTATGTTGACAACATGGTGTGGGCCAGGAGCTATCCAAGATTTCCAGAGGTATCACTAGATGTCCAAGTTTATATTAAGATACAAAGATATGACACCCATCTTTTCAGTCAAAAGCCTTTTCAAAGTGGGATGCATGACTGTATGGTATATGCGCTATCCCCGGAGACGTTAAGGCTGGGCTGATGTGGTTCTGGGCAACCTGATCTAGTTGAAGATGTCCCTGTTCATTGAAGGGGGGTTGGATTAGATGAACTTTGAAGGTCCCTTCCAACCCAAACTATTCTATGGTTCTGACTGTGATTCTTGTTTGAGAAGTACAATCCTGAATCAAGTAGCCAAAGCTCAGTACATGGGGAAAGCAAGTGCACATGGAAGGACACACAAGTCGAGAAAGCTACAAAACAGCACTCCCTCGAGATGGACAAGAGCCTAGAAAGTCACTATATACACAAACAACATACTGCACAAATAGTACAAGCCAAAATATGCAATACAGATTTCAGCTGTATTACAGACAAGTGGAAAATGCGTACTATAGACAAACAAAAATGCCTATCGATAACAGCATTTATCACACTTCCTATGTGCTGTGAGGCAAGAATTGTATTTGCTCCTGGGTAGGCTTTAGTCCCTGTAGAAAAGAAATTTTTGTCTTTTCTAGACATTCAAGTGAACCCTAATGTCCAGAGGTTTATGGTTAAAAAAAAAATCCCACAAACAGTAAATGTAACATCAAGTGGCTTGAAAACAGCATCTGAACTGTCAGCCACTAAAAAAATTTCCAGCTGATTACAAACTGATGCATGTAGCTGTGTGCTAAAGAAATAATAGTAATTAAAAAAACTGCTGCTGCACAGAACTCACTAAACAGAAAAACTTAACTGCTGACTCGACGCGTTACTTTCAATAAAGGTCAAACGGTGATGGGTACTACGCTGTCTACAGCTAGTGAATATTACCCTAAGATGACACTGCATTAAAGTTCAGTCAGAAAAGAACTGGTGGTAAGTAGGAAATCCATGATGCAGCTTTTGATGTTCTAAAGTGGACTATAGGATTCTCACAAGAGTTGGAAGTCTGACGATCAATTATGTTAAGCTTCTTAGCTTATTCAGAAAACACTGTGTAACTAGCAATCTATTTTTCTTCATGATAATGCTGCTAGCCTGGAAACTTGGAATTCCAATAAAGGTATTTACATTTTCTTTGCAAGGTTATTTTTAAGCTGGAACAGTTCCCCAAGCTGCTGCAGTTTTGTGTGGCCTCATGAAGGGTTGTAACAGCTACAAACCAGGCTGCAGAGGGGCAGCAACAAGCAGTTGAGACACACGAACAGGGAGCTCTTGAGGTGGTTATACACTCACAAAAACCCCAGCACTTTGAGCTGCGTTCTAAGTATCTGTATGATAAGATCACTTAATTCCAGTAGAGGAAAGCAGCAAAAGGAGATTGTTTTGTACCAAAGGAGACCAGTCAATGCCAACAGATCCTGCGAGATAAGGTCAGATTGAGTCAAGTTTTGGCCTCAAGCACTGCACAACTTCTGACAAAATTAAAACCAGATGAAAACATCACATTCAGGAGCGAAGTGCAGTTCATCTAATCAGTCTGTAACAATACCATCATGTGCTTGGAAAGCAGCTGAATTTAATGAAACATCAGGAGCCTGCAGGCTACAGAGCTGAGAGTTCTTTGTAAGATGGCAGATATCACACTGATTTTAAGTGACAAGAATGGAATATGGAAGGGATAGGCTGCAGTCAAGAAGATTACAATGGTGGGGATACTGCTTACAATAGACAGGCAACACAGCAACAAAGAAAAAACCTGACCATAAGAAAGATCAATTTGACTTGGCAGCAAAGCACCAAAATGATTCAAGAGCACATACATAGGCAGGAGAAATGAGCTGTAGTGGAGAAAACTCGAATCAGAACCGGGAGTTGCTGTATTGCTTTTTGCATTTGCAGGTGCTCAGAAATTCTCTGAAGGTATGCAATCTCTTAGCGATTTATGGCCTTTCCTTTATTTTGCCTTTTTAAACTTTGTATTTTGCATGCTTTCCTCCAGAACTAAAATAGACCCTGTCATAAAAGCCACCACATTTCTACTCAGTTACCAAAAAGCACATAGCTACTAACTGAAAAAAACACATAAGAAAATGTGGCATATATAAAACTTTATTTTATAGGTTAGGAAAAGATCGACTATTTAATTTTCCTGAGAACATTCTTTATGAAGCTGATTGCTAACAACCACTAACAGTAAGTTTGCATGACACCATTCCATTCTGCTTAATCCACACAGGAGATGTTTGTAATATTTTGAAAAGGATTTGATTTTGTGTCTTTTTATACTGTCCCTGAATTTCAGGAACCCGACAGTCCCAGAGCACACTTCAGAGGAAGATTAGTATTAGATCACACCTCAGTAACTTACAAGTATTACTGAAAAGACTTGCTTTAAACTGTACCAGAAAACAGTATCCTAGATCCTGATAAACCAAGATTAACAGCACATTTATTTGCCTCCTGCAAGATGAGTTCCCAGCTTGCTTAGAATATGAACTACAGAAAAAGACAAGTAGCAGTAAATTGGAAAACTAAAGGGAATAAAAACGAGAAGAAAGAATCAACTTTGTAAGACAGCTATGTAGGCTCACTTCTACTTACAAGCAATTTTTCCTTAAGCTTTTTAATGACAAATAGTCTCGTGGCATCAGAGCAGTGGAGATCCAAAGACAATAATATTAATCATATAATAAAAAGACTAACGAACGTGTTACAATAAACATGCATCTTTCAATGTGCTGTTGCCCACTAATGCTGTTACATCTACGCATCTGTATTACCTCAAGGAACTTAGTAAGGTCTTTTCAATCACTAACATTCTCTTCCAGGTTTCAGCTTGGAATACACACTTTTATTAGCAGATGAATTCTAAAAAAGTATGGTATTTCAACCCCTTTCCTTCTCCAGACATCAGTGGGTTTGCCATTTCCAAAGAAAAAAAAGGATTTTGAAAAAATACTTTACACACAACATGAAAGAGCATCTGCAAAGGGAATGTGCTGCTTACAAACTGCATGATAAATTATGCAGTCTAGACTCAGCTGCTTCATGACCACAAGGAGATTTTTTTTTTTTCCCCTCAGAGGCAGGTCAAAGGCTTAAAAATCAACTCCTCTAGGAATCAAACTGCAGAAGCCTCACTACACTCAGGTGCAGAGAGCACTTCCTTGACCTTGTCTTCCCTGACAAACACATGCTTACCCACCTACAGGAAAAAGAACACACTCTTGTCAGATCATTTACAGGGCTTCAAAAGCAGCCCAATTCATAGAAGAAAAAGCCACCTAGAGCTGTAAATAAATAAAAAATTTAAAATATCCATGTCACAAATCACTGAAGGTTGTGAGGTTTTTCTAAAGAAGCGTCCCTATATCCTCATCCAATTCTTACTTTCTTCCAATAGCATGAGCTGCTGTTGCAGACAGGATGCTCAGTTAGATGGACATTTGGTCTGATGAGGCAAGGCTTTTCTCACACTCTAGAAATTCATTTTTGCCTTACTCCTCTAAAGACATTACTGTAAGGTATAATTTTCATATTCAGTATCTGTTGATTCTGAAACACATTTCTGAAAGAACACTATGGACTCTGTAATTTCTTAGAAAACACACACATTTCTATCACCTCACCACAACTGGGATCACTGATGACTGATTAAGAATAGGCCAAGCTTTAAACAGGTATAAAAAGCAAACAATGGGCCTGCGCTCAGAGCTGCTCTGTCGGTATAGCTGAAATTGGATGAGAATAAGGAAAACAGTATGTCACTTATTTCTACAACTTTGCCTTTGAGGTTTGTTGTAGAACAAGACACCATTGTATAAGATGTTAAAAACAAACCCATACCCACTCTTTTTCTCTGACGTAGTTATACTTTCAAAAGTCTAACATTATGGCTAACAATTTAAGGATGTGCATCTCTGATAAGAACCATATAACTGTACAGTAGATAGCGAAAAGTCTGTTCATGTCCCAGACAGCTTATAAACAAATTCTTTACTATCGAGAATTGCATTTCAGTATTTGTTCTGAACAGGCAAAGCCTCCAGAGAAAGGTCATTCTGTCAGTGTTCATGAACAATTAATATTAAGTCATGCTCCTAAAGCAGGATATGCTGAGAGTCCAGAAAGATGATGGAGTTAATCTTCATAAAACTTTTATTATATAGTTATTATCTACTATTGGAATTAAAGTGAACACAGTAATCCAC